CGGCATATAAATTTCAAAGGTCACTTGCAATTTGCCTTCTGCGCAAAGTACCACAAATACGATACAAGAAAATAAAATGCAACGGGGAAACGCGATATGTGTTATGGGTACAATCCCGAGCAGGATAGCACTGAAAAAGTGTTTTTGTTATAAATTTCTTTTTTTCTAGTGCTCAGTTTGCACTTGCATCACGATACTTATTAAAAGCTATTGCACCAAAATATAAAAACGCTCATTTAAAAGACAATCGCGGTTCTTCCCGATTTTAAGACACACACCGTTAGAATACACCTTGCAGTTGCGGCTGAGCATAGGGTTGTTTTCGTTTAATTAAGTCCAGCTCATCGACAACTGCCACTGTCTCCGTTAGCATTCTACAAAGTACTAACAAATTCTTGTAAGCTAAATTTCTCTACATGCTCGTTTGGTGGTTTTTTCTCTGGCTTTGGTAGTGACGATTGCTTCGTTAAGTTAACGTCAGCCACCACGTAATTAGCCTAAATTAGGCAGCTGTCAAACCAGAAGCAAAACAAACCCGATTGTTTCCAAAAATTGTTAATGTAAAAGTTACGCAGTAGTGTACTACATGTACAGTATGCAGAATTTTAAGCAGTAATTCCAAATTAAAATTTGTACGATTGGCACTCTCTTGTAGACTAATACATGTAATTCAAAAACGAATAAACAGTTCATGCTGTATAACGTTGCACTATTGAAGAGTGGCATTGCTTATAACCAAACCAAATTAGTAATTTTTTTGCAGTATATAAATGCACATAAGGTCTTAATTTACACATTGATTTCACATATTTTGCGCTGTATAGGTACATAACGTTACCTGTTTCGGCTGACTTAGATCAAATGTTAAAACAACCGTGGCCCTATGATTAGGTCAATCGTTTCTACTGTTTGATAGCGATAACTTACATATAGCGACAACAAAACTGCATATTTATCAATAGAAACACATATCAAAATGATTATTGGTAACAATACTAGTGCTCCTACCTCCAGCCATGTACATAACTGAAATATTCATAAAGCAAAGCAGTGTGATGCTAATTAAACATTCCCAGTAACACTGAACAACAGGCCATCAGGCCATTATGGACGACAAACAGTTTCGACCGGAAATGAAACTCTAGTGCTATAACTGCTTGCAGACATTATGACCTGCAGAGAAAAAGATACTCGTAGTGAGTGTCATTGAGATTGATTGAGTGAACCCGTGATTTAGTTAAAGTGTTTTGACTACCAATTACAGGCAAGCCAGGACTGGTGATACATGACTAGTAGTCATTGACTACAATCATGGTGACTGTCTAATGTTTATCATGTTTTAATTTTTTATCTAATGTTCCACAGTACCGGTCACTGGCTCGTATCAGCTGTTCGCCGCATACTTGCACATGAACTTTGCTGTTATTCCAAAAAAAACCGGCGCCATTTATACGCGCACTTTTACAAACGCACGGTAGCTCCACTAACAGCTATCCTTCTTATCTTCTTGTTTCGCTAACTGATTATTTTGCCGTTGTAATAGTATATCGGCGAAATAAACCAAGCGACATGAGCAGCTGAACCGGCGTCCTGTTATTTTGTCCACCATTCATTTTGTCCACCATTCATTTTGTCCACCGATCATTTTGTCCACCAATCATTTTGTCCACCAATCATTTTGTCCACCAATCATTTTGTCCACCATTCATTTGGTCTACGCTACTTTATTCAGTATAATATAAATACAATATTACCACTTAATTTAATATTAGTTAAAATAAAACACACAATAGACACGGTCTGGGCGTAAGATGGAAGCAGGTAGATGCGCGCTGTGTTAAGTATGTGCATAAATCGAACTCATCCGTATCGCTTGTTTACCGTTTGCTTACGTATTAGTTGTCAACCCGCTGAATTTCGAAACGCATACCGCATACAGCTGCGCGGAACTAGGTATAGCAGCAGTATTACGTACGAGTACAAATTACCGCACTCGATATTGTTGCAGCAAGGGCGAGAATTTTCCAATGAAAGATTGCAAAATTATGTAATTAATATGTGTAATTAATTATGTAAATAATACTTATCGGATTACATACTATGCGAGTTTATTAAATTCATACTAGTTTTGTCATAAAAAAATAGAAATACCGTACTTTTCGAATTGTATCGTAAACGAAGTGTACGGTGGACAAAATGAATGGTGGACAAAATGAGCGGTGAACAAAATGATAGTGGACAAAATGAATAGACATGGCTGAACCGGAGCGCCGGGGCCCGGTATACTGTACTGTATATATCGTATACATCCAACTGTGCGGTGTGCATACGTTAAGCCCTGTTGCCGAGTTGCGTTGAACAGTTACATCTGACTCTGATTCTGGCGCTAATTTTTGAGTACCTAACAATAGTGCCAGCACTTGCCGTCAATGTTACTTTCATGAAATTTGGACTCTTCTAAATTAACCTGGGCAGGGAATAGGAATTATTGGATCATAGTGACGCGCTCCGTAAAAATAAATTCGTATCAGTCCGTATCTGCGTTCCCGGTGTTCGAATATTCGATTACAATGCCAATTTGAGTAAGTAGGACATTAAGTAATTTAATTTGTTTGTTCCACCTCTTTTTGCCTTACTTGTTATTGACCTATGGCAGTTTTTTACGTTAAGCTGAGTTTCTACTCGTTTGCACCCCTCTTGCGAGAAAAAACACCACTGCGGACTTGTAAACAGTTCTACAGTGGACGTTACTGCTTTTGGTGCTCAAAACATTGAACTTCACCGATTTAAACTCAAAATGTGCGCGCAATAACCGGCTGCTGTACTATCACCGGAAAAAGTTTAAAAACTCGGACGCGTCAAATAATTCACCTATCTATCCGACTCCGACCAAATTTACCATTATGGTAAATCTATATCTTAAGATCATTCTGAACCATTATGGTGATGATACCTTAAAAAACAAAGAAGCAATGAATTTTCAAAAATTTTAAACTCTTATAACTTGGTCAGTTTACATCTGACCAGCTTCGTTTTGGTTCAGAATGTGTATGGGAATTTACTCCATGTGATGGAGCGATCAAACTTGGAGTCGGATAAAACACCGAATTATTTGCCCCATTTGCTATTTTGAGAAAATGACTTTTTGTGAACGGTATAGACTAAGCTGGACAGCATGCCTATTCTTGGTGCGATTGCTGCGCATCCTGTTATGTCCCGGCCTCTTCGGGTCACGTATTGTTTCAGCTGAGCAGGAATGACTCTCTGACACTCAAGCGCCAGTGGTAAATGGAGATGGAGATGAAAACAGGGCAATAAATTTCATTGTTCTACCTGATTATTTATGATAGCGCGCGCATCTTCTGGTACTTATACAAACATTTGCTGCCGCTGATAATTTCGCGGCTTGTGGTCAGTAAACTTGCCATCCAAGCCAGAACAGAGATGTCCCCTCTTCTGCGCAGTATTAAAACCTTGTAAAAGGTCTCTGCTCGATCATAGTTTTTAAAATAGGTAACGGTGTACAATTTTTTCATAAAAGTTTGATTCACATCAGCAGATAGAGAAATGAATTCTCTATTGATTCCTGTATAATTTAAAATGGCGTAATGTGAGTAGAAATTCACCTTAAAGCTTCTAATAAGTGAAAACACTACATGGTGTACTTTTAATAGGCGTATTACAGCCTTAATAAAAAAATTTGGTTGTTCACGGACTAATTTGAAAGGTCCCTACAACCGATAGATTTTTTACAGATTTCCTTGCGAATTTAGACAGCGAACGTGATATTACTTGTACACTATACCGGCAAGCGTCAAGTTTACTGCAGTACAGTGCTTAAAATTCTACCATATTTAATCAACGGATTAAAGCGCCACGTTAAAATGCGTCTATTCCAGTTAAGTATATTGAAGCCGGCATGCTTCTTTTCCAGAGTTGTGCCTTCAGAACGTGTTACGGATGTATTTTAACACGGCTTTTCATTTTTTTGCTATGGCAATTCGGGCTAACAGCAAGATGTAAAGTTGACCTTTCAAAATTTCATTACATACCGTCGCGAACTAACGCACTTTGTGCACGGCACATGCTGGTAGCACTATCCAGCAATGTTAGCACTATCCAGCCTATCTACTGTATGTTCTAGCAAGAGTTTCAAGAATATGCACTACACCAAACTCTCCGAACCCGCTTATACATAGTGCCACATTTTATGCGGCATCTGCCAGGTTGTATCGCTTGCCAGTTGCCAAAGCATCCAGTTTTTATCGCATGCCATGCCACTGGCAGTGCCATTGGCAGGTGCCATTGCCAGGTTTTACACCCTGCCTTTCTGAACACTTGAATATTCGACAAACATGATTTACATCAGTCAGAAAATTTGACCAAAAATACGGCTTGTACAATATGAGTACAAAATCATCTTACGAGCAGATTGAGTTTTATTATCAATTTAATACTGCTCTCAAAAAACTAATTAACATCAAACATCATTATTTATGGATTCCAAGTATAATTAATTACTGCATCCGCAGTGGATACATCATACACAACGTTCGAGGCACGTGTTAGTACACGTGCCGGCAGTCACATTGGAACAATATCACGGTAGCCACACTATATGTTCAGATTCTTCGGCGTCTTATGTTTATCTAAGTGGCAACGTTTGCTTAATTAGCTTGCATTTCTTCCTTATTTTTTTATGCAGACACTGTTTTCCCTGAGGCATTCATGCATTGCTTGTATCAATTTTTCTGCTAAACAGAAAACTTGGCAATCTTACAAACTGAATTGTGGACAAGCGTTATGAGCGTGGTGCCTGGTGGCGTCAAGTGAATGCTTTCCTAAATATTAATTGGCGACACTGACCGGCTAATGGGCAGCAACACAAGATGTTGCATTCTTCGGCAAAATTAATGCGACAGGCGCAGTATATAAAGGGATGTGGAGTATCAATTCTGCTAACTGATATCATAATATTTACTTGGCACAGCACTCTGCTGTCAACTCTTTCCCCATCTTCACCGACTTCACTTATGTACTCTGTACGATGAAGTCAACCGCTGGTTTCCTCTCGCTGTGGACCACCGCCACGGTGCTACTGCAATATAGCACAGCGGAGTCTGGTGATCCCACCGTCGAATCGGGCCCCAACACAATCAACGCTAAAAATGTCCCAACCGAAAAACCATCGGATACCCGGTAAGGTCCGTTTACGACTATAGCGGTTTAAGTTCCGCGGTAAAGCAGGCGTTACTGGAATGACCTTCAACTTAGGAGTGCTACACTGCTAATATGAAACACCTTGCTTCCGCGTAGATAGCGTCGTTAATGTCGCGTATGCAAAAATTTTAGAGCAGCATGCTCCGACTGCCATGGTTAATTCGTCGCTCAAATCATAGCTGTTACTTCAAAAATCATAATCGACTGTGAAAAGTGATCATCTGTTCTGCCAACTGTTCTTATAACTATGCATATGGGAAAGTTAAAGCGGCATTATACAAATGTGTGACTTTCGTGCAAGAAAAGGCGCAACTGATAGAAAGTACGTATCTGGTAGAGCAGCGGTGCTGGTGCAAACACGCTCTTTGGCTGTATGGCTGAGTGGCCTTACGAACAGAGAATTCAGCGTAGCGCTAACAGGGCAAACTACAGGTACACAGTATAACGGAATTCTATAGGGGTACAAACAAGTCTACTCGGCCCAGTTCCCTGTACTGCTGCCGTCAGCCGCCTGGAGTGTGACGTTACGGCAATACATATGGTTAAATCAGGCGCGGTACATAAGCGCCATGTATAGCCACAACGTAAAACCCCAGCCGGCTGACATCAGAAGTACAAGGGACTGGTTCGGCTAGACTCATTTTTCCCCCTATATTATCTAAAACCGAATTTGTTTCAAAGTGCAAAGCGCTGTAGACGATAAATCACTGCAGTAACAGATCTCACTTGACAGCTAACATTTCCTTGTAGAGCGCATTTTTCTGCACATTTTAGTTATCATTAGCTTAAAAAACAGTGTTCAAAGTCACCGTTTCGAACATCCGCTTAGCGACATAAACAGCGACTTCCGACCACTCATAGGTTTTCACGACTGTCGTCCGTCTGCGGCTGCCCTGTCGCATACCAACAATGGATTTTCTGTACGCGCTTAACTAAGACGGCAAAAACCGGTTTTAAAACGATGTGAAAGCGGTAGTACAGCGGAGGCATTCAAGGACATACCAAACAGTTCGCAGGCGTGTGTCTGCATGTACAAGCCGGTCCGAAGATAGAGCACGTTAGAGAACAGCTAATGCATAATAAGCGCGACGTTAATGCTTAGCATGCGCGAAGTTTGCGCTTATTGTTAGTACGATGCGTAGAAGCGCTCCGCAGTTAGATTGTTCCTTACTCTTACTGAACCGACCGTTTCCTAGCCACTTCCCGCCAGGCTAGTACGTTTGTTTTCATTAAAATACATACATGGCGTTCACGAAGCCAACGCCATATCTACGTGGAATATCTTCGGATGGACTACTTCTGAAGTACTTATTTCAGAACTGTCAGACCTTGTTACAGAGCCGTTTCTGCAGCAGCAACTCACATATGTTACAAAAAAATGCAAAAAATTCAGCCGGTAGTGCAATGACTTTCTGAAAAATCTTCTAAGGCCAAGAAAATTTGACCTTAAAAACAAAGCAGTGGCCAATAGGGGGGGGGGGCGCCTATAGCTTCGGCGCATGACAGGGGTGCCTATAGCCATTTCCTTAAAGATATTTGTCCTACAGACTGAATTTCAAACTTCTCAGTACGGATCCCAACCAGCATGGGAATCACACTCGTACGCTCACGCCCTTCTCTTGCACACTACCCTAGGTTGACAGGATTCAAGAACATTAATTTTAGCTTATAGAGTGATCAAATAGCGTAACTGTATTTCCTTATATGACCGCCGAAGCAGCATTTAACAGTGAGACTGCTAGCAAGCTCATACCGAATGCCTTGGCATGCTTTGCAGTTCCATAGGAGTCAACATCCTACAAACAATTTCGAAATGCTCCGACCCGTTAATGACCCATGGCTGTCGCGATTGTGAAATGTCATGCGCCAACCCCAACCCGTCGGCTTTATGCGCTTATCTTTGCGACAGGACCTGCATCTGCAAACCGGGTCTATACCGTACGTTCATTCCGTCGCCGACATGTGCGCCGCCCAATGGACCCCTCCTCAACAACTGTAAAGTAGCATCACGTAAAGTTAAAGGTTAAACTCCAGATTTCCGCGACTATATATGGTACGTGTTGTGAATAATTGATGTACACAGACAGCAAACGCTGATGATTGTTCAATTTTCCTGATGGTGTTGAAGTGCGCACTGACTATGTCTGGCTCCTTTGAATGCCTTTAACAGAAATAAAATTTCTACTGATGACACCCTATGCTCACGTATATCTGTACATGCTGGATGGTTAGATTCAAATGAACCAAGAGATTTCTAAGAATTTGTGGGGCATACGTGTTAAATTTTGTGGTAAATAAAACTCCATTATTAGACGCGAGATGCTGATTTCTAAGGTTTTTGTAGATTGCGGGCGCTGACTGTGGCCGGACGACGCAATATGACAGTAAAAGCATAAGATGCGCACACAATACAATAATTTTGGTGAGAACAAGAGTACGAATTTTACTTTTACAAAGCTTACAACTAGAATACAAGACAGAGTGTGATAAATATGTAGTAAAATAAGAGCTGCAGCTAATCGCACAATTTCAGTGTCCTTGCGAGAAGTAACTGTATGCACAAATACGAGGGGATGACGGTAGCGCATTTCAACACTCCCTGTACTTGCTGCCGTCAGCCGGCTGGAATTTGACGTTGAGGCTAAACATGGTGTTTATGTACCGCGCCAGATTTGGTCATATGTACTGTCGTAACGTCATACTCCAGGCGGCTGACGGCAGCAGCACAGAGGAATGCTGAAATGCGCTACCGTCATTTCCTCGTATAATACTAAGTGCGCATTGTTGTACTCGTACAACGTGACAGCATACGATGGTATTGTGAGGCTGAATAAAATTACAAAATGGTTTCGGATTGTGACTGTTACCGGTGCATGCCGGTTGCTCCTGCTTGGACATGGGCAGAACGAGGGCCGTCGACCGGTGCCGGTGTCGCCGTGGAACACGCTACATTGGGCTTGGCTAATCTTTTGGTGGACTTAGTCACAACCTTCCCGCATCTCATTGTCAGCAGCCGGCGCACTTGTTGTCGGTACTCCATGTTGACCGCAGATATACGAAGAAGTTCAGCGAATAATTGGCACCGCGACATTTCGCCGCCGACAACTGGTCGCAGGACTTTTGGTCGCAGACATTTCACCGCAAGGTCATCTCGCCACGCGACGTTTCGTTGCAGGACATTTCGTCGGTAGGACTTTACGCCGCGAGACTTTCCGTCGCATGGCCGTTTTGACGCAAGGAAATTTTGCCGCAAGGACAACTCGACGAAGCGACATTTACCCTATCAGATACGATTTACTAAGCTAGCTGAAAGAGCCAAACAAATTAAAAATAAAGCAAAACCAAACGTACAACCTAAGAAATCTAAGAAACCTAAGAAACCTGAGAAACCTTGGAAACCAAAGAAACCTAAGTATCCTAAAAAGTTCTAAGAATCTAAGAAACCTTAGAAACCTAAGAAATCTAAGAAACCTATATAAGAAACCTAAGAAACCAAAGAAACCTAAGAAACCTTAGAAACCTAAGAAAATTTAAGAAAACATACGAAAACTTAAGAAAGTCTTAGAAAGACTAAGAATACCTATGAATAAAACCTAAGAAAAACCAAGAACAAGCCAAAAAAACTGGAAAACTAGCGAGAATTAAGCGCGGTGAATTATTTTAAATTATTTTGCGACGAGTTGTCGCATCGTTCGAAAAGTCCCAAGAAGAATTGTCCGCGACCAGACATCTTGCGTCGAAATGTCGCAAAAGTAAAATGTCTCAAAGCAGACTGTCCCAAACCGAAGTGTCCCAGCGTCCGAATGTCCGGCGGCGAAATGTTTTCGCGGCGAAAAGTCGCGCGTCGAGTTTGAGTGCTGCGAAATGTCACATTCCCAATTGTCCGGGTGCGGAATAATTCGCCATCAATAACACCTCACAAATGGGTAGAAAAATATTGCTGATGAAATGCGTCATCGTAATTGGCAGACCGAAAACGTAGGCCAGCACGAGACCGCAGGGTAGCTGATTAGGACCACTTGTATCAACGCAGACGGCGATGGTTCCCCACAGCATAATATGGTGGGAGATGGTGTGCTTATTGCGAGAGTCGCGGGTTTTATTGGAGTGCAGAAGAAATTGTGTGGCGCGGTATTCTCTGCGAATGGAGCAAATAAGGATGCTGGTTAACAGTAGCAAGAAAAGGAATTTCCTGAAACTGAGAAATGCCTGTAAAATGTCACTAATTAACATTAAAAGAGGCATTCTACAAATAGATGGCTGCATGCAAGATGCATGTCTATAGTATTGTAGAACTTCCAAGGACGTTTAAAAATTATTTAGTTATGAAAAATTTTATAAAACTTCCAAAACCACAAAAATCTTTTATACCAGGTAGGCAGCTGAGTTGTTTGGTACAGGATTTATAATGGTATTTAAATCAATCACAGTGTGTCATATAAGTGCAAAATTATGTCGTTTGTTTATGCGTGCACTCACTTTACATACGAAGATCGCTGCATTTCTCAAATGAATTAACGGGGTTAAAGTGGAAAGTTTCCAGTTAAGGTTAGCTAGCACATAGGAAGTCACCATGCCAACGGTTAATAATATGCTTCCACAGAACGTTAGCCGGGCTGGCAGCGTAGGGTGCGTCAGGATGACTCCAAATGGATTGATACAGGCTAGCAGTCGTCCACTCGCGAATGCAATTAATGTCTTGAAAATATCGTAATGACTTCTTCAACTCATTCAAAAAAATGTGGGCTTGTCCGGATTACATATCTTTACAAATATCTTAAATTCCGGTACAGTTTTTGCAACAAGTACAACAAAACAAGTAAAGTTTTTGCAACAGCAGATTTTGCTGTCATTGACTGTCATTTGCATTCCTGATCAGTGTCCACTACTTTTTCCCAGGTGCTTGGGTATTACACGATGTGCGATTGTACAGAATATGAACCGCTGGACGAGAAAATACCAGTGAAATGCAACAGGACGCACTGCAAGATGGGGGGTCATTTTCCAAATCGCTCGTGACTGCGACCTTGCCTTCATGCCAGCGGGAGTTCTCTAATTTAGTCTCGTCTGCTGAGTAAGAAAGGCACGTTTAATCATTAATGATAAGGAATTATCTGTTTCTTGTTCCGGACTTCTTGAAAGTACTAGTATTCGTCCGAATTTACGTTTCTTTCCTTCTCCATTGCGCAAAGAGATGAAAGATGTTATTGGTCTGCACATGCGAGTATAAAAACCAAGAAATTTCGAATTCTGGTAGAGCCGTCCAAGTATGGAAGTACCTCTATGAATGACTTAGCATGATTCCGTCGAATCATCGTCGAAATGGGTTTCTAGTTCGACCTCGAAGCCATGTGATTGGGTGGTCCTGACCTGGGGAAAACTGCACTTACCGTTGAGTAACGTTATTTTAAGATGCAAGCGACCGTGGGAACCGAGAAATATGTTTCCTCTGTCAAAATCATTGTCTGCGTTGGTATCCTTCTTTTCAGTGTGTCGTACCGTCCAGTCTCTGCCGTTACAAACCTCAGTGTGCTCTCCGTCGCTGAGAAAATGTTTTCTTACACTTGCGCTGTATGGATCAATATTTCTAACACTCGCCCGAGCAAACAGCCACTTTAGCCGGCGACTACTTGAACAGGATAACTGAAATGTCTATGAGTCACATAGGCTGCAGCATGGAGCACGCAGTGTAGCATGTAAGCCGACTGAATGCGCCGACTGAAATGCCGAGAGTTAGACCACTGCCCTACTCAAGGGGCTTCACAAAATTTTACAAAATGTTTTATATCGGGATAGCGGAACTGTAAGCAGAACTGCGGAAATACAGTTTATGTGATGCGCTATATCCGATTAGTATTTACTTTCCATCAGTACTTGTACTTTCTATTATTTTGGGTTGTGTTATGGTTTCTACACGGACGCTTGGCGCCTATATGTACAAGTCCGTGAGTGCCAGTATTCTGATCATCACTTCTTCCATGCTAAGTTTGGCAGTTTTCAGAGTTTAGAATTAAAGTTATCGTCGGAGATTCAGTTCTCGCTTCGCGTAGAATCGTAGATTTAGCTACGCCACATTAAGATTATCAGCTCATACTTTGCCGCTGAGCCAGGTCGGTAGGATTGATGTTGCGGTATTATTCTATCGTTTTGGTCTCTCCGTCATATCATATATGCACATATGTAACCGTTCAAACCGACCGGAAATTTTGGCCTTTAAACCGTCCGGAGCGGATGGTATCTTTGGTGCGCACTGGTTGATGAACAACACACCAGCAATGTGCGGACCGCCGTCTTGCTGACCGACAACTTCCTGGCGAGCTTTTGCTGATTGACAAAATGTGTACCCGACAATTTGTTGAAGCGACAACTTGCTGAACTACCTTTTGCTAAACACCCACCACTTTGCTGAGGACGTTGTGATGACCAACATAACAGCTTTCCGAAATCCTTTACGGACTCAGGAAACCTAAAAAAACTCAGGAAAACAGAAAAGTCTGAAAACAATTAATAAAACCAAAAAATAGCAAAGAAAACCTAAGAAACCTAAAAAATTCTAAGCAAGTCTAAGAGGCTAAGAAAACCTAAGGAAACACGATCAAAGCTAAAACCATGAGAAGCCAAAAGGAGTGCGAAAACTAAGACGACCTAATAAAACACTAATAAACCTTAAAACCCAACAAAAGCACTCAGGAAACTAAGAAACCCTAGAACTTGTCTGAAGAGCAAGCTGTCGGTTAACAACATTAATAGTTTCCCCAAAAAGTCGGGCAGCGAAACTGAAAAAAAGCGAATTGTCGGTCAGCAAATTGTGCGAATCAGCAACATGCTGGTCAGCAAATTGTCGGGCAGCAAAACGGAAGTCAATAAATTGACGTGCTGCCGGAATGGCACCATGTTTGAATTCGACGCAACGTTCATAGTGCATAGCCTATGTGTGCGATAACTGCGGATAACGCTCATCTGATACAGTACTATTCGCAATTTCATTACACCGACTTACTTTTTTCCTCGGGACTAAGTCGTGGCTGAGAAGGGCAGGCGCGACTGC